GTGCTCTGTGCTCTGCCATCGTTTTCCATCGTCCGCTGGCCGACAATGCAAATAGAAAAGCCGGAAAAACGCAATGAACACACACACACACACACACACACACACACACACACACACACTCGGTCATAAATGTGTGGAGGAGGAGGCCTATAAATTGGCAGCAAAAAAGGATTTGCCAGCTCCATGTGGGTGCTAAAGGATTCTCGACTGCTGCTGCTAGTTGTTGGGGTGTTGGGTTGGGTGTGTTGTGTTTAGGTCCCTCGTTCGTGGCACAATGGACGCAGACGCAGCGCACAGATGACATGCATAAATTGCATATCAAAGGTGCATCAGGAGCAGCAGCAACAGCAGCAGCAGCAGCAGGAGGAGTCGAGTTACCTCCACTTGCAATCTATAGATTTATGCAGCGCCCAAACCTAGTCGTACCCCGCCCCAATACTTCCCCATAGTTATGATGCATAACCCAATGCGCCCTCCCGCTCTCTCGCTCCTGTTGCTGTTGCAGCTGCAGCTGAATGCTGCTATGCCCCATGGCTATGGCCGAAATGGTTTTTGTTTGTTTGCCGATATCGTCGTATCCCAAAAATGTTGATGAAAAATGATGCACTTGCCCGGGTGCGCCCCCATACCTCCCATACCCCCTCCCACTCGCACTGCCACTCCGCCTCGCGGGCAGAGTGCACTGTGCACTGTGTGCACCTTCTGTGCTGTGCCGTGCTGTGTTATGTTTTGTTTTGGCAAAATTTTCAATTTTCCGGCATCCAGCGGAGGCCCAAATTGGAAAAATGCCACGGCCAGAGGAGCACAGACTAGAGAGCGGTGGATAGAGCGGTGGATAGAGCGGAGGACATGGCCACAGAATATGCGGCGGCTGCACCAGAATATTATTAATGAAAATCAATACATAAATTCTCGCCATATTTAGATTGTTTCGGCTATGTGTTTATTTTGTATTATAGTTACGTTTATTATGGCAGCGAGACGCCACAGATTGGGGGGACAGAAACAATGCCGGTCATAGGGCAACGAGTTGCATATGCGTTGGGAGTGAAGTGAAGTGGAGTGGAGTGGAGTGGAGTGGAGTGGAGTGTGTTCTCGCTTTTAATCTGTCGCTGTGAATAGTCTTTAATTTATTTGGGAAATTAAATTGCATGCCATTCATTCACTCGCGGGCTTTCCATTCAACGCGGAACACACAATACATAGATCATGGCTGGAGGATTCCATTCTTTAAATTATGGAAAATATTCAAGGGGTATGCGTATGCTGTGGGAATGGACTGGGATGCTGTGGCACTAGGAGATTCACTTTTAATGTGGAGTGAGACTCTAGAGGAGTGGCTCTGATCAATGCCATCTTTTGGAGGGGAATCACAGGGTAAGATGTGCCCATTGTTCGGCGAGTTTAATCATTTTCATTCCTGCAGTTTAGCAGCTACAATTAAAGGTGTCTCCACGGAATTCTTCTACTTTTAGGAACTCTATCAGTTGTTCTGTTCTGTTCTAATGGAAATCATGGGATATCATTGGAATTTTCGCATGGAATTGGAAGGCGATGAATGTGCTGCGGCAAGTGCGTTATCCCTTTGGCTAAGACGCCCAGAAGACGCCCAAGGGTAAGGAGACAAATGAGAAACATCTCCCACATCTACACGACAAATAAATTATATCCTTTTATGTCTTTATGCTGCGTGTTTCTGTATGCATATGCCATAAAATGCGAGTAAAAAAAGGATAACGACAGAATTTGTGGAATTTTTGTTGTGTTTTGCGTTGGCTAATGTCCGGACGGGGCGTACGGGGGTACGGGCAGCCGAGTCGGAATCGCAATCGTAGGCCCGAGCCGAGTAGAGCCGAATGGCAAGCGGCAGGGAGCCTCGTGTACATAGAAAATAAAAGAGGACGAAAGACCAAAGAATAAGAAGCAGCTGTGGCAAGGGAAGGGGAGAGGACAGAGAGAGAGAGAGAGAGAGAGAGAGAGAGAGACTGAGAGAGAGAGATTCCAAAGTCTAACCTTAGTGACAGTCACTAGTAGCAGTACCAGAATATGATCTATTGAAAATCAATTCCCCTGGCCGGCCTTTGGATCGATTTAATGTGTCCCTCCCTTTGCCAGCACATACCCTGCCCTACCCTGTCTGCCTGCTGCCTGCCTGCCTGCCACAGTGCGTCTAAAAAGTCAGCTGCCACCCACTTAGAAGCTGTCAGTGTGTGTTCGTTCTGCTCTCCCTCTCTCTGTCTCTCTATTCGCTCTCTCTTATTCGCTACTGCTCGCTCTTTCGCCTGTTTTCTGCTCCTGCTGCTCCTGCTGCTGCTGCGCAAGGATGCTGCTCTCGTTCTCGCTCTCATTGCTCACCAATACCAATACCAATGGCAGTCAGTGTACATGTAGCGTTTTTCTAATATCTGTGCTTCTCTTTCTCGCGCATTAGTTTTTAGTGTTTTGCATCTCGCTTTTTTTCGTTCGTTTTTGCCAGGGACACACAGGGACATGGACATAATACGCACACAGCGAAGCTGCGCATCGCATGTAAAGGGCTGCCTGCCTGCCTGCCTGCCTTCCTTCAGCCTCCTACTGCTCCTTGCCCCCGCCCTCCTGCAGGACCACTTCTTGTACATAAAACATGGGCGTGTTTGTGCGACTGTCGATGCTGATGCTGCTGATGCTGCTGCTGCCTCTGCCAACGCTGGCTGCTCAGCTGGCGCATACAAATTTTGTGTACTTTTTTAGGATATCAAATAGGGATACGCCACACACACACACCCAAACACACACACACAGCGATACATTCGCTGCTATGTACAGGGTAAAGCATGTAGAAAAAGGGAGTAAAAATGCATTCTGCTTGCACCAACTAAAAATGCGCTCGACACCCCAATCCAACACCAACAACCCTCCCACCAAGGGAGTAGGGGATTGAAACTGCATACAGCAAGGGAAGGACGTGCTCTGCCCTCCCGTTTAGGAGGCATCTCCATCTGCAGCTCTGGCTCCTGGCTGCAGCTTCAACCTCAGCTCTAATGCAACCTCTGCTGCTGCTGCTGCTGGCGCTGCTGGCGCTGCCGCAGTTGCAGTCACTGCTGCCACTGCTGCCATTTGCCACACCCAGAAAAAGTGCATTTTTCTACAAAAGTTTTTGGGATTTTTGCTGCTTTCTGTTGTTGTTGTTTTTTGCCGCTTTTCCCGCTTTTCCCGCTCTGGTTTCTGGTTTCTGTCTCTGTTTTTGATTTCCCTTCGCCAGCCGAAACTGCTGCCCCATGCCACATGCCACTACCTATGCAACATCGCTATGTACAACAAATATTCACTTGCCACACACACGCACACACACACCTACACTACACTACACTCGCTTTTTTGCTGCTCTTTCTCCTTTCTCCGCGGTGTATTTAGCATGCGAGCGTGCATCCCTGTGTGTGTGTGTGTGTGTGTTGCATGGATGCTGCATACGTGTGTGTGTGTGTGTGTATCGGTGGGTGTTGCATGTGTGCGTGCAACTGCATTCGGTTGGTGCTAAAAGTTGCACTCTATATGCACATTTTGTGTGCGTGGCCAAAGCCAATCGGGTGCCGTCTGCTGCTGTCCGCCCGTCTGCCCGTCTGCCGACTGCCGTCTGCTGCTGGTGCAGTTTTGTTCTGCTTACTTTTTCCTCAAACTTTTATCTGGCCAGCCGCCCAACCGCCACCCGCCACCCGCCATCCGCCTGCTGCTTGCATGCACCCAACTCAGGCTTGGATTCGTGCAACTCAACTCAACTCAACCTCCTGCTGGCCTCCTTGACTTGCAGCAGCAGCAGCAGACAGTAGTGGCATTCCTTTGGTCAAATGCTTGGCCTGCAAAATATTTTCAAGCCTCTGAAGGGTGCGCCCCTCAAGCCCCGCTTCCAAGCTCTGTGCAGATTGCAATCTGTACATTATTTTATTAAGGCTTCAATTTAATTTTTCTTTCTGAGTGATTGGAATTTTGTCTTTCATTTGATTGATTAAATGATTCAATTGAAATTGAATAAAGGAAGTTGTTCCTCATTTTTAGCCCTCTTCTATTCTTTATCTTCCTGGATCAAGGGGGGCGGGGGGTAGGGCAAATGGTGTCAACACCCGCATTGACAACAAATCGCATCGACAGCAATTAATATCGAATTAAAAACTCCTGCCGGTAATCGACCCCAGGATTCTAATCAAACAAATACGAGCAGCAATACGAGACTTCGATAATGGGGATGCCCCCCCCCCGGGATGCCGCAACCCACAAGCAGACAGCAAAAAGGGGCATCCGTTTTCCTTTTGCTTCATCATTCACCATTAAAATATATATATGTATATATATTTTTTTTTTCTATATCCTATGGACTCACACACGTGCCGATTGTGTGGGGGGTCCTGCTGCTGATTTTTTCGCGTGACTTTTGTTGGTTGGGTAGGGGGGGAGGTTTGAATTTTTTTGTGCATGCTGAATGCTGGCTGCCATTTGTTTGTTTGGGTTGTTAGAAAATATATTTTTTGCGAAATTTACGACGGGGGCATGGAGCATGGCCAAAGCGGCAAAAAAATATGCGATATGCGATGCGGCAAGGGGCAAGTGGCATGGGGTACATGTGGGGCATGCCATGTGTGTGTGTGTGTGGCATGGAAGGAAAAGGAAAGCGGCAACCATTTTTTTTTCTATGCTGTTGCGTTTCGTGTTTTGTTTTGGTCTCTGTGGCTCTCTTCTCAGACTCTCGCTGTGGCTCTTCCCCTGGCTTTCGTTTTGGTTTTGGTTGTTTTTTTTTTTGTATTTTTAGGCGAAGGCGAAGGACGTTTGAGTAACCTTGTAACCCTTTTCTACCCCCACACACACACACACACTCTTTGTCTGCTTTCTCCGTGCATTCTTTCTCGTGCCGTTTCCGCTTTCCGCTTTCTGCTGCTGCGGTCTGCCCTCGAAAGTGTGTCCCTTAAACGGGCCCCACAACTTCCGGCTTTCACTTTAAACAGCGCTTAGTTGCGCTGGCTCTCACTCACCAGCAAAAGGATCCTCCATTGGCCATTCACTCCGGACTCTGTTGCGCTGCCGTTTGCGCCGCTCAGAGATCACAACGCGCTCGCCGTCAAATTCCAACTGATCCTCGCGGCGCGCCAGCAAAAGCTCAGAGCCAAGGAGTCCCAGAGTCTCTGTCTCTGGTGGCATCCTCATCCATGCAGTGGAGGGGAGTGGAGTGGAACCAGTTTCCAGCGGAACTGCGGATTTTGGGTGCAAAACATTCATTTTCATGAGGGAAAATTTTTGCTTTTGTTTTGGGCGCAACAATTGATGAGGCGACGCTAGGATCTTGGCCAGCAGCTTCGCGCTGTCTTCAAACTAGTTTCTGCCCATCGCAAAAAGCGCCTCACCTCCGACGACCCTTGCACCCTGTTGTTGACCAGCAGAACGAGCCCGTTCCCCCCCTCTTGCCCTGTTTTTCAACAAACGATTTCGGTTAATAACCTTGACAGGGGATGAATGGGTGCTAGGGGTAGGGGTTGGGGTTGGGGTTGGGGTTGGGCTTGGGTGGCTGCTGTGCTTTGTGCCTGGGAACCAAAATGCTGCCAAACGAGTTTACTGGATGCCTCAAAGGACGATGAAGAGCAGAGCATTTCCATAGAGTAAGCCAGCGAAGAGCCAGAGAACGATCGCTAGAACATTTAACTAACTTTAGGCTAAGTCCCGCTGCTTCGATCTGCTTGCCACTAATTGGGGGTAGGGGGTAGCATCATTCCATGCCGCATAGGGCTAAGGGAGTGACAAAAGTCATCGGAAGTCAGGGGTTAATTGCTGTGCACCCCTTTGTGGGATATCCTATATCCTCATTTGGGACACAACATCAACCCCTGTGCGTGTGTGGCATGCGCCCAGCACGCGTGCGCCCTCCGATCTTTGGCTATTCCAAAATGGGACCCGCTCTCAGGGCACAGCAATGGCAGAGGTCTAGAGTTGAGGGGAGAGATGTCTCCTGCTGCAAATGAACTCCACACAATGGAGGGAACCAACTGTGATTCGGCAATGGTAACTTTTGCCATTTATGCCAGAAGGCAGCCAGCCCCCTGCTGCATCCAGGATCCAGGATCCCCACTCCGGTGTCTAGTGGTCCATTCATTGGTTGTTTTGCATTTTAACATTTAAACATTTAGAGAACTATGCAAAACTCTGACTGCAGGCAGTCAGTCTCTTCCCCCCCCCCTTTTCCCATTCCCTGCAGCATATTCTAATTTCTAATGTAGAATCTCTGGGGGTATAAACTTCATCTGCAACGTGGACAGACTGGGCAGAGGGAGAGGGAGGAACAAGGCTTTTGGGTTGCAGCAAAGTTTTGGTTTACGCTTTCAAAAATAATAATTATGAATATGATTTGTTGGAGGTACTCCTCCTCCTCCTCCTCCTCCATATTATGAGCAACGCCTCACGGCCTGTCCTCCCACACGTAACTCGCTTCCCCACTGGCAGATTCAGTTTCCCTAGCTATACTCCTCCCACACCTCCCACACTGCAGGTTAGTTTTCATGTTATTAAAATTCTAAATATAAATTTTGCGCTCGTGCCACATCCTTTGGCAGACATCCCTTTTGGCGCTGGCTGGCTGGCTGGCTGGCTGGCTGGCTGCAGTTTCGGTTTCGGCGTAAAGGTAATTCACTAGAAAATTTACTTTGCAATTAGTGCAATTAAAAATGTTGTTGTGTGTGTGTGGAGCGAACGAACGAACGAACGAAAGGCGAAGGATTAAGCAGGGGGGGGGGGCGGCAAGCAGGCGGATGCACAGTCCAACAGTTTCACAGTTTGTGCTTCAGTTTTGTGCTTCAGTCTTGAGCTGCTTTAAAGGATTAAATAATGATGTTCCCACATCGAAATCGATCTGTTGTCCTTTCAAGGGTTGAAGTTAAACAAAGAACCAACAAAAACAACAATTAAAAAACATTAATAAGAAATGCGCCTCCTCCTGGCTACTGGCTACTGGCTACTGGCTCTGCCTTTGGTTGGCAATCGAATCGAATGGAATGGAATGAATTTTTCGTGTTGGTTTAGCAATTTGATCCGTGGGCGAGGGCAAGGGCAAGCCCCCAAGGACCCAACTTCTTAATGTCATTAATTTTTTAAGCTTACTCTTGGAATGCAAATGCGCTGTCCCCTCCGCCCCTCACCACTCACCCCCTTTGGCCGCATAAAAATGGCAGGCCATCAAGGAATCGCTGGGGCGCAAATGGAGCAGGCAACGGGATCGGATCGGAACGGAACAGAAAACGGAACGGAAAAGGGTTTAATTGTTTTGGGCGTCTAACGGAAGACCAGCAGCAAGTGGCATGGTGCAAGCAGAGCATGGCAGGGCAGGGGGCTTGTGGGGCAGGCAGCAGATTTAGTTTCAAAACACACACTTGAGCCTACGGAGGACGGTGTAATTAAAGGACTTGCTCTGTCTCTCTCTCTCTCTTTGCCAGGCGCCACCTCCTCACGGCCAGGCCCTGATGATTTATTGTTTGACAGACAGAAGTTTCGTGCCCCACCCACTCGCCGGCTACAGCTAAGGTTACGGCTACGGCTACGGCTTTGGCTTCAGCTTCAGCCTGTTTTGTGTTTTAGGCAAATTAGAAAGGGTTCTTAGCTGTCGGCGGCAGCTGGGGAAGGACACGCTCAGCCTAAGCAGCACCCGCAGAAACCAGGAGGCAGAAACCAGGCGGCAGGAGGCAAGAGGCAGAAGCAGCCTTTCGGTCTGTTTGCTGTCACGCTGTCTAGCTATTTATTTATATTTAGTGTAATGTTTAATTTAGTAATGGATTAGTGCTGCCGAAAGGAGGATTCGTTCATTATGGCCAGTCACGTACTGTCGTAGAGTCGCAGATGGAGGGATGCAGCCAGGGGTTCACGAGGGGGTCAGAGTCTCTCCCTTTGTCCTTTGGGGCCGAAGCTGAAGATTTATTGTGACAATTTCTTGGAATGCGCCAAATGTTGCGGCAATATGTTGATGCCGCAACCCCACAGAAAAGATGCAGTAGGACTGGACGCACCCAATCCTCCGGCAAATGCAAAACGGAAGCATAATGAAGCATCAAAAAAGGGTGGGCAGGGGAGCAGTAAGTGAAGGAGGACGAGAGCTCCATCTACCCTCCACATAGATTGCTTATTATGTTTGCAGTTCAGTGCATAACTTTTTCACTCTCCATGTAAATTGGATGCCACACGCCGCAGGAGCCACCGCACCGCTGCCACCGCTGCCACCGCTGCCACCGAAAAACCAGAGTTTTGCCAATGTTGCTGCTCCGTTGACTGCTCGCTGCCACCCCCTCGCTAGCTACATCCTTGCCCTACTGCTCCCCCCCCACTCTCCTTGCACATCCTTTCACCTTTCTGTTGAACAGTTTTTCGCTGAAATTATTTTATAATGAATGTTCGTATTTAGCTAAAGTTTTATGAATGGCTTTCATTATAGAATCGCTTGCCAGGGACCGCCCACCCACCCCCCACCCACCACTTCTGGCGCCAGAAACTACAACTACAGACAGCTGCCTGCCTGCCTGCCTGCCTGCTGGAGGATCCTGTGGATCCACTCGCAGCTCGGGGCCAGAGCCCAGCACTCACTGAAGTGAACCACAAAAATATGAAAACCACATTTATATTGTACATCGGGCAGCTGTTCCACAAAACTTTGTCTATCTCTGTAGCCCCACCCCCATACCCCTTCTGTGTGTGTGTGAGTGTGTGTGTGGTATTAGTGTAGCTCTCATATGGTAGTTCGCGGTGGCTGTAGTTCTGTTTGTGGGTGTCTGTGGGAGCTGCCAGCGCTTTTTGGGCCAACTGTAGCTGAAGCTGCCACCAAAAGTACGTGAAGTGAAGTGGAGTGGAGTGGAGACTGCTGCACTGATTTCCATTTGCCCCTGTTCGGGGGCTTTCCATCTAGAAAATGTAATGAAATGGTTTGGTTTGGTTTGGAATATGGAGCTCCCTCCCCCACCCACCTCGCCACAAAGAAACGAAAGTTCTGAATGCTTTTCGGGCCGCTATAAGCTGAGATGCGAATCCCAAAGTGAAGGAGGAACATGTGCCCGGAACATCTCCTCCTGCACATAAACCCAACGGCGAGCAGTGACGCAAAAGCGGAACGAATATTTCTACTTGAGGATGAGCAGGGTAAGGGGAGCGGCTGTGGGTGGGGATGGGGTGGGGGGCTGTGTTGCTGACAACCCTTTCACAGAATTTCAGAATTTCCGACTTGACAATTAAGTAAAATAAATGAGGAGCTTTCCTCTTTGGCAAGCAGACGGAGTTACGGAGGCTACGTGACGCAGAAGATGCGAGAAGAGCGAGAGAGAGAGAGAGAGAGAGAAAGGGAGAGCCCTCGCCTTGCCGCAACTTTGACACCCCACAAACAGGGGCACAAAGGGGCACAGGCAGTGGGAGTGTGCACTGAACGGGTAGTATTTGTGGCAGATTGTACCCCAAGGTACAAGCTAAGTGCCACACAGCATCCTCTGTGCTGCTGTTGCTGCTGCTGCCGTTGGCAGCCATTATGGATAAACTTATATTTGCACTAGAAACAAAACACACACACAACAAAGGAGTGGCTGCCACCCTGCCACTGCCCCCGCACCCACTGGGTGTCCTTCTGCTCCTCATGCTCCCTTTTGCCGCATGTTTTGTGCGCAGTTGCCGAGGTCACTAATGTCGTAAGATGAATCCTTTCGGCAAATGCCTTCAGGGTGCAAAAATAAAACATGCCAACGGTAAGCCCCCCCCCCCACCCACACATGCTTGTGCCACCCAGCAGCCACCCCACCAGGCCGCGCTTTAAATGTAGATTAGTTGTTGTTGCGGCAGACGGGCGTGGGGAGTCCGCATCCGCATCCGCATCCTTGGAGAGCAAAATAATGAAAACAGCAACTTTCATAATGAAGGTTGCTGCTGCTGCTGTCCTTCGTCCTGCGTCCTGCGTTACGTCTCCTCTGTGCCTTTGCCTCTGCCTTTGCCAGTGCCAGTGCTTCTGAACTCTCGGCTCAACTCAACCGTTTTGCATGTCCTTTCGTCTCTTTTGAAATTATAA